GCTCCTCCCATCTCCCATGAAAGACCCAGACAGCAGTCAGATAGGTCTTGGCCTTTCATAGCACTCCTGATGCATTCCTCTCCTGCTTGCCCGATAGCCCATCCCTGGACAGCCCCAGTTCCCTCTGTGTCATCCAACCCAATCTGCAGGAATTGGTGGCTGTCTCAACCAGACCTCATCCAAGGCCTGAATCTTAATTCAGTAGGCTCAATCTGTGGGAATGTAGGAGAGGAAATATTGATTAAATATTATCCCTCCTCACTCACGCTAGTGAGCAAGCAGCAGAGCACATTCCCTTGCAGATTGCTGGAAGCAAGTTGATGGATTTGTTAGAATCATTTAAGCTGAGCAATCCAGTCTGGCTTGTTCCTGGTAAGTTTCCCCTTTTATTTCCCTCTTAAAATAATAATAGCACGACAGTCTTGTTTAAAAGTAAGAGTAAAGTTTACTTGCATTCAGTTCACAGTAGTATTCTGAAGGCAGGCTTTTTTCTTGTGGTTACAGTTACATTTGTAGAGAAAAGAAGTTTGAGCTACGCCTCAGACTTTCTACCTTGTGACTTCCATCCATGTGCTAAGAGCCAGAAGAGAGGAAGATGGCAAAAGAGCAAAAGAGTCCAAAAAGGGAGGAAGATGGCTACATGGCTAGCCCTTGTGTAGGGTCTGCTAGGGTCAAACCCATCTACCTGGTCACACACGGGGGTGGGGGGAGGCTCCAGAGCAGGTATGAGAGGAAGTCCTCCCTGTCTGGAGCCACATCCCCCTGTGTGTCCACTCTAGGCAACAGGAAAATGTTGTGCTTGACTGCTTCAGTGATGATACATCCCACACAATCTGACTCAGGAATTAGTTTCTGCTGAATCCAGAGCACAACCCTAGTGTTTGGTTTTAAGTTAGCTTCAAATCACATCTTTGAATTCAAAGATTTAACCTGCACCTTTCATAACATTTGAAGCAACCTGACAGGGCAGCGATGATGTGATAATCACATGGTCAGGCTGTCCTAGTTGGCTCCTACAATTTGCGGGTCTCTTCTACTGCTACGTTCATGGCACAGAGCCATTTACCAGCATCTTATTCCCATGCTACTCAGATCATGTGAGAACATAAGAGCAGCCTTAGTCCCAGTGGCCAACCAGATACCTCTGGGAAGCACAGAACCAGGTAACACCTCTATTCTGTTATTTTGCTGCTGCAACTGGAGTTCAGTGAATTCCACTTCTGAACTGGGAAGTTGCAAATACCTCTCTTAGCTAGAATCAACTGATTTATTCTCCTACATAAATTTGTCTGATCCTCTTCTCTAACTTGAAAGCGGTATCCACATCTTCTCATAGAGAAGGCCATAGTTTAATGGTATGATGTATGGAATATTTAATTTTCCCAATCCTGACAGTTCCACTGGATTACTTTCAATTCTAGTATTATAAGGGGGGGGGCTCTGTCTCACCATGCATAATTTTATAAATCTATCCTGTTCCTTCTTGGCCAACTTGGCCCTTCTAAATTTTAAAAGTCAACCATTGCAGGGAAGCTGCGCTGAACTCTTTCCCAATTTTATTGCCTTTTTTTTGACATCATTTTTTGAGACATCACAACCAGAAGACCTGGGTCACTACAGAGAGAGGAGGCCAGAAACATGGTTGCCATATTACCAGACTTGGCAACGCCATTGGTAGAGGTGATGGTGGCTCAGGTAGAAGCTACAGCAGGAGCTTATTGTTATAGATAATATATTTCTCTCCCATCTTTCTTCCAAGGAGCACAAGGTAGGATACATGGTTCTTCCCATGCTCTGCATTTTATCCCCACAACAACTCTGAGAGGTAGGTTAGACTGAGAGGCAGCGACTGACCCAAGGTCACTTCAGATAGTCAAGTGGTGATTTGAACCCTGGTCTTCCAAGTTCCTAGTCCAGCACTCTAACCACTACATCACAACTGAGTCTCATGAGTTGCTCCCATGTGGCCCAGAACTTCATTGGAATAGGGGAGAAAGATTGCCATGGACTGGTTGGCCACAGAGGAATGGTGGGAGGAACCCGCTGGGGAACTAACAGGGGAAGAAGGCTCAGAACCCAGGGATTGGTGGAGGAAGGAAAGGATGTGTAGCTCATTGGGGGAGGGATCACAGCTCTGTAGTGGAGCATTTGCTTTGCCTGCAGAAGGTCCCTGGTAACAATTCAATCCCTAGCAGCTCCAGGCATGGGCATAGCCAGGGGGGAGCAGGGGGCAGCTGCCCCCCTAAATCAAGTAAATAAATAAAAATACTTAAACTGACCAATGGAGTCTCGATAGCTTGGTCCTCTCTCCCCCCCCCCCAACATAAATCCTGTCTACGCCATGGCTCCAGAGAGGGCTAGGGAAGACTTCGTGCCTAAAACCCTGGAGAGCAACTGCCAATCCATGCAGGCAATCCAGAGCCTGATGAACGATTGGTGTGACCGCTTTCTGGTGTTCTTAAGCCTTCTCCATTACTCTACAGCATGTTCTAGAGGTGAACCCTGCTATGACAGGAGGTCCTGGGGAGATACTATCCACCCGGAAGCCCACTGCAACGCTAGCATCTGTTTCCATCCCACCATTAACAGCAAACCTGTTGCTTTTCCTGCCGCTCCCTAAGGAGTCTAGATGAGACCGACCGACCGACCGACCTCCAGCCACCCGCCCCGCACCTCCGATCAGCGTTGCGCCTGCAGGGCCCGAAACCTCGGCAAGGCAGGCGCGCCTAGTCCCCCCCCCCCATGCCGCTCTACGGCCCCTCCAAACAGCCTTGCAGGAGGCCAGCGAGCTTCCCATTCAGTCACAGCCCGCCACAAAGCCCATCACAATTGGCACGCCGTCGGATCGCCATCACCGAAGCCCTGATCCAAGATTTAATGCGTTTTTTGCAGAAAGGCTGATAATAATAATCATTTAAAAAATCTCGCCCGCTCCCCCCTCCTCCTTGCAGTTCATGTGCATGATGGCAAATGCGAAGCTAGGCAGAGCTGCGTTAGAAGGTGGGGGAAACCTGCAATGCGACGGGAAAGGCAGGGAGGAGGAGCGGGGGGGGCGGTGCAGAGAGAGAGACAAGCTCCCTGCGTTTCCTATCCAAAGCCAAGGGAGGCAAAACCCTCCCCACGGAGTGGGGAAAGCTCTCCTCCCCCGATCCCCCCGCCCGCTCCGGGAAAGAGCTTCGATCATTTTTCGAGCGGGTGGGGGGCAGCAGCAGTCTGAAGAAGCCCGGCGGTAACCTGACCCCCTGCAAAACACATCAAGAATAGAGAGCCTGTCTCGCTCGCTTGTCTGTATCTCTCTCCACCGCAGGGGAGTTGGAGGAGGGGTCGGCCGTGGAAGGAGCGGGGAGGGCTGGGCCTTAAAGCGCTGTCCCACCGGGGCTGGACAGGGTTAACCTCCAGATCCGCAGTTAAGCGAGGGAAGCGCTCTGCCCAGCGACCCCGCCCCCGCCAACACTTGCTGCAACGCTCACTGCAGATGTTTCCAGAGAACAATACATTTTTTAAAAAAGTAACTATATTTCTTTTTTGCACACAGCGTGATTAGCCCTGCGGCAGAAGGCGGTAGATTTCCTGTAGATGTTCTGTTTCATGTACGATCGTTTCTGCGTTCCTTCATTCGCAGTTATTTATTTTGCTTTGCCTGCTACCCGAACCCCAACGTCCTAGACGTGGCGGGCTATCAGTCTGAACGGAACCGCCTCAAATCGGTGCAACAGGGCAGGGTGAAGCGCCCTGCGTAATCCTCCTACACTGCGATCCTACACACACTCACCAAGGGAGCAGTCCTGCTGATCACGAGTGGCACTTCGGAGAAGGCGTGCCTAGAATTACGCTGCAGTCCTAGCCACACTTACCTATAGCCCTCAAGGAGACTTAAGTAGGCTGTCAGGCACTGATTAGTGAATATCCAGGCTCAAACTGGATATTCCCCCCATACAACCGTATGATGGCCTAGACCCCAGTGGATCCAGGAGGGTGTGCGAAGAAACTCCAGGTGCCTAGTTACTTATCCCTCTTTGGACCGGCTACAAAAATCTAATTTGCAGAAATCCTTGTATTCCATCCCACCTTGGATGGAGCTCTTCTTCTGACGATCTTCTAGATCCACCCGCCCCGCCCCCTTCCTTTCTGCAGATCGCTAAAGAAATCTGAACTTAGCTTCTTTAACAATACTTTTACCTCCTGGCGCAATGTTGCAGATATAGGACATACTGTATATACAACAATATTTCCCCGCCTCATGCGCATACAGGGCTTAAAGCGAGGGCTTCGCTCTATACGCGATGAGCCCGTTCATGAAGGGAAAAGACAATGCCAGCATTCATTGGGGGGCGGAGATTGCTTTCTCTTATCTGCATTCAACCCTGACTTTCATGCGCAAAAAGCTCTGCTGCAGAGCGCGAGCAAGCTCCTGAAAGTGGAAACGACGACTCTTGGAAGAAAGCGGCGCGCACCACGCACCGTTCCTCTCTTTCCCTTTCCTGCCAACTTTGAAACTTTGTACTAAAAATGCGATCGTTCTCAACTCGCAGAAAAGCAGACTCCCGCTGCACGCTTGTTTGTAAACTTTGGCGAGGCGAGACTAAGCCCGCCGCGTGGGCGAGAGGACGAGAGCGCGTTCCCTTCTTGCCAAAGTGCCTGGGAAGGTGAGCCGCTTGCTCGCCAACGCCTTGCAAGGCGAGCGAGGTGGACAAACAATAGAAAACCCTGGAGGTGCGGACCCAACAGGGATAAAACGGCTCCCTTCTTTTCCTCTGCAGTCTTCTCCTTTAAACTGAACTGCGGCAGTGAAACAAACAACGCGCTTAAACACACGCCCTCCCCTTGTTTAGATCAGCTGCAAAAAAGGAAAGAAAAAAAACCCACCCCCGTCAGATGTTTGTTAATGTTTCTCGGCGGCGGCCACCAGAGTTCTTCCCCCACCTCCCCGGCTATTTATTAGTAGCCAGCCAGCATTTCACGCCCGCCTCTCTCGCCCTTTGCAAAAAATTCTCACTCACTTTCTGTGCGCGATGCCCCAAAGCTCTTCCTTTGCAGTCCGTCCTGCTTTCCTCGCCTGAGCAGCCCGGCAGCAGCAGCACTACTGCCACTCTTCATACTTCTGATCTCTCTCTCTACTTGGTGCTCTCTTTGGGAAACCTTTTTTTTTCCCTCGCCAGAAACAGATTTCCTACATTTCATCAGTCCACATAGACTGAACGGAAGTTTAACGCTTACTTTTTTTCTGGCGGAGGGAAAGGGGGGGGTGCGTTGAAACAACGACACGGCAAATACAATTGACACCGGTTTACCCAGCCTTGAAACGCAGATATTGAATTACAAACTATTGGCAAGGACTTTGGGTGGAGAAGGGTCCAGCTCTTATTTATGCTGCTTCCAATATTCTGGTGGAGGGGGAGGAGGGATGGGTGAGAAATACCCTTTAAAAATAATAATAAGCAGGCTGGGGTTTATTGAAAAGCGTTTACTGCGACACCACAGTATGTTGTAAAATGTTTCTTTTGGAGATGGTTTAATTTTTAGCTTTGTTTCCTAAAAAGATCATTGGGTGAGAGGCGCATCCCACTGAAGTCAGTGGCAAAGTTCCCACTGATTTGAAAACACAATAAAGTGTTGTGGCTGGTTTGCTGTAGCATTAACTTTCATGGGCATTTTCCCCCTTTCCCAGGCATTTGATAAAGCTCAAACCACGTTAATCCACTTACACATTAATTCCACATACACTTTCTCTCTGCTGGCTAAAGACATGTTGGTGTGTGAAGTGGGATGTCCACGTGAAACCCTCCCACTAATTAACATGGTACAATCTCCTAGAAAGCTCTCCTGGATAAGAGTCAATTAAATGAACAGCAGAAAGATTTGCACAAAAAAACTCCCTAGAGCAAAGCGGGGGGGGGGGATCTGTGGCCCTCCAGATGCGGTTAGACTACAACACTCATCAATGCTGGCTTGCAGTGATGGGAATTGGAGTATATCAATACAGTGGTACCTTGGGTTACATATGCTTCAGGTTACATACGCTTCAGGTTACAGACTCTGCTAACCCAGAAATAGTACCTCGGGTTAAGAACTTTGCTTCAGGATGAGAACACAAATCGTGCTCTGGTGGCGTGGCAGCAGCAGAAGGCCCCATTAGTTAAAGTGGTGCTTCAGGTTAAAAACAGTTTCAGGTTAAAAATGGACCTCTGGAACGAATTAAGTACATAACCAGAGGTACCACTGTATCTGGAGGAGCACAGGCTCCTCATGTGTGTCCTAGCCTCCTTGAGTCAGGCTTGTTTGTGTCCCGCTCTGCCATTCTCACCAGCACTCAAAATCAACAGCCTAAGACCATCACTTCACCTTTCTTCATGGTAGGGCTGCATCTGTAGGTCTCATGCATCTCTGACTCCTAAGGAAGTGCCTTATATGCAGAGAACTGCATCACTTGACTGAATCCCCAGACCAAGACCTGGTTCACACAGAGCATCTGGTTGGTCACTGTGGTAACAGGATGCTGGACTACAGGTCTGCTCCAGCCTATGACTGTCCGGTACCTAAAACTATCCAGTCCAAAATACTGTCAGTATATACTTGTGGACTGACAACTGACAGTTTTGTGACATGGTCAGTTCCTGGCAGGGCTGTCTTAAGCATATGCGGTGCAGGGTGAAAAGATCCGCCAAGCACACCCCCCCCCCAGGTTGCCCAGTCCCAAGCTCGCATGAGAGTCAAGCTGGCTTGCCACCTCAGCGTCTCGCTGGCTCAGTCGCCCCCGAACTCACAGCGCAGAGCCACCCGCAGCAGAAGAGCACGGCGCAGCGCTCCAACTGATGGGCTGGCTCTTCCCCGGACTCAACTCTTTGGCCCCAGACTCTTGGCCTGGCGCCCCTGAGAGCCCGGCGCCTGGGTGCTCCACACCCCTAGCGCCTATGGGTAAGACGGCCATGGTTCCTGGGCTCCAAATGCTCCAATGTGTAGCTCTTATGCAAATACTTGTAGTTACAATGGACTAATCTCAATGCCTTTGCCTTAACCGGCTGCTTGCTTGAGACATACATTTGCCTTTGGAACAGATGCATCTATGCAACATCCCAGGACCTTTCCAAGCACATTTTAAACAATGTTGTTCTTCAGAGCATTCTTTTAGTTGCACTGGTCCTCTCTAGCACCAGTACAGCCGTAACCAGTCTTCATATACTGTAATGGAAGCTGAGATAGCCTTGCTGCAGAGGGAATTGCCTTGTGGTGATGGGATTTTAAAATACTGGAAATGTTGAGCACATCTTTTAAACACAATGTGATGGACATGCTCTCTGGAGCAGAGCCTACAAATTGGCACTGCTGTTATGAAAGAGACCTTTGCATGGCACAACTATATCTCATATGGATTGCAGAGCAGAGTGCCAATGTAACCCAACAATTTCTGATTATACAAGTCCCAACATTACGCAGATCTTCTTTCGTAAACAATAGTTTGGTTAGTAAAATGACAGTGTTCTTCCACGTTTGGCTCTACTCACTTTTGTTGTGCATGGGTTATATTGCAATTAGTGGAACTGCCCCAGACTTGATGGGCTATAAAGTTGCTGCCATTTAAATAAGGAGCTTGGTGCTCAGTAGGCAGAAAATTTGGGGGCACTTCGGTGGCAGCTGTGGTAGGATATTGCAGGAATAATGACTTTAAAAATTGTGACTTATTATGCAAATAGTGACTCTGCATACAAATTCTTCCATACACTCTAGAAAGGGTGCATGGAGCATATGCAATCATTAGAGCATTTCATCTCTTTAACCAGGCAGAGGGCCTTCTCGGTAGTGCCGCCCACCCTGTGGAACACCCTCCCATCAGATGTCGAGGAAATAAACAACCATCTGACTTTTGGAAGGCATCTTAAGTTTTAGGGAAGTTCTTAATGTTTGATGTTTCATCATGTTTTTAATGTTCTGTTGGGAGCCGCCCAGAGTGGCTGGGGAAACCCAGCCAGATGGGTGTGGTATAAATAAATTATCATCATAGGATTTGTAAACCACTTTCCAACAAATGCTTCCAAAGCATTTGTACAACAGAAATGCCAAAAGTCAACATATATAGCAAAAATGAAATGTACATAACGATTTAAAATACAGGTCTTAAAAGCATAAAATTGCAAAATTACACACAGAGTACAATATCAAATGGCCAAGCTACTGTTCAGAGAAAGCCCTCTTTACAATATATGTTTTCAATAACTGTCTAAAAACAAAAGGTGTTAGGTGCTTGTCTAAGTTCCATCGGAAGCTGATTCCATACAGCTGCAATTCCAAGAGCATGGCACCAAGCATGCAATTCCAAGTTCAAAATGAACACTTGCCTGTTGAGCACACTTCAGTTTTGGGTGTGAATTGTCCTGTTAATGTTGTAAGTGTAATACTGCACTCTTTGAGGCTTGATCTGCAAACCAGTTTAACCCTAGTCCAGCCAGCAACCCCAGTCTACCTGGCCGCATCACAGCATAGGCCAATACCTTACTATAAATTCCTATGAAAAGAAATGGTGTTTGAGCTATTCACTTACAGTAGCCATCCCACCTGGTCGATACGTAATCTTTCTATAACCTTGTATATTCCTCTTTTGTATCCTGACTCTTAGATTGTAATATATTAATATATTTTAGCAGGAACTCTTTGGACAGCACGTAGTATTTTAAACGTTTTATAATAAACTATAACTTCCAGCCTTAAGACCATTTTGCTTCTTTAGAGCTGTGTGTCTTCTGCAGCTGATTGGCTTGGCTCCAACGTTTTTACTATCAAACATTCAATGCAAAAAACATACAACAAACTGCTTTAAACATAGAGGATGTGTTCAGATGTTATGAGGTTGAGTCTAGCCTCTCCACCAGGCTCACATACTCCCTGCTCCTTTCACAAGGCTGTGAGGAGGAGATTAGAACCTCCTGTTTCTATTTAAGAATAAGCAGAGTTCAGCACATCCTCCAAACCCAAAAGTGTATGTAATTAATATTAACTAAGGAAAGTGAACATGAATCAGCTTCATGAACTATGGTTTTAAGTTGTCCTGTTTCCAATAACCATAGTTAGGATTAACCATAGTTTGATTTGTGCTTAAACAACACAAGGCAAACTGTAATTAAGGAAAAATCAGAAAAGGCTTCTGAACCGCTTACAGCCTCACCAGATGAGGAAGGGGAAGTATGTGAGCCTGGAGGGAGGTTAGGCTTTTTGTCATAACATTAAACTATGGTTTAGCATTGCATCCGAACCACCGTTTTCAGTTAAGAATCAAATACGTGGCTAGATCACACAATTAATCCAATTTATGTTTAATACATCAGCAACTAAAACCATCTTCTATAACATAAAACAATGGCTGCCCCTAACAAAATCCACCTAATTAGTTTCTTGCAATGGCCCCAATGCATGCAAACAGATTTGAAGTAACCCAGACAGATTGCAGACCCCACCTCCTCTGTTTAATTGTCTCCTTTTTGCTGCACAAGAAGTTTGTTCCTTGCAAGAGATCAGCTTCAGATGATAAACTTCAGCTGTTTTGCACTACAACTCCCATCAGCCCCAGTCAACACGGGAGTTGTAGAGGGCTGATGGGAGTTATAATCCAAAACATCTGGAGGGCACCAGGTTGGCAAAGGCTGCATAAATAAAATAGAGATGGCTTTTTCTACCATACTTCTTCCCTGATGCCTGAAGCCAGATTGATTGAAGCCATTCCTCCAAAATCCACATACAAATGAACTGACAGCTGCCTTGGGGACAGAAACATGGGTTGTACCACCTTAGCAGAACTGGAGGAAATTGCTTTTTGTAATAGTTGGAGAAGAACTTAGTCCATCCACTGGCACCAGCCACACTCCTCCTTGCTATCTATATATTGCTGGCAAATGGTCTTTTAAACTTGATTCTGTGCACTTTGAAGTACACAGGATCAAGAAAATCCAAAATTTTCCAGAAAATGCATGACTTCATACTTTGCTCAAGAAAAAGCCTGCATTTGGAATGAATCTCTGAACTTATTCCAGATTCCAGGCTATAAACTAGCCAGTTATGTATATGTGTATTTAACTGTAGAGCACGTTTAAAAAAAGTTGGAAAAGTTGTGCAGCCACATACACACTCCCCCTTAAAATGGTGGATAATGCGTGCCTTAAACAATGGTCCAAGACATATGGCTGGGAGGAGAACATGCCAAATTGTCTATATTTAGTTAGTCTGTACTTTTTCTCTCTCTTGCATGTGATACATTTACTGAGCTTTTATTCTTGCTT